ATAGTATTATGAATAGGTGTTAATTGTGTCTTATTCGAAAAGTCACAACCTTTCGAAAAAGTCACTGCTTATCGAAAAAGTCACACAAACCTTTAAAAAAGGCACAACTCATCAGAAAAGACACAACCCTTTAGAGAATTCACAGCCCTTTCGAAAAAATCACATCTCATTGAAAAAGTCACAATCCTTTGAAAAAGTCACAACTCATTGAAAAGTCACAATCCTTTAATTTGAAAAGGTTTCTATTTTCAATATAATAAAATTAATTAAATTAATAAATAAAATAAATTGAGTATTTTTAATTGAGGGTGTTATAGTAATTCAATATTCAAGTTTGGATAGATAGATAGATATATAAGAATTGACAAGATTATAAACCATAGATGAATAACTAGTATTAGGTCCTCATGATGTCACACGTGACAAAGATGACATTTATTTCTGCACTTTGTTACCTAAAGCACCTTATAAAGATACACAAATTGATTATTTTGCTATTCTATGATAGTAGCATCATTTCCATTGGAGTTTCCAATAAATGTAACACCATCACTACATTGAAGTGTTGTAATCTTATACTTCTGGTGACTAAAATTTTGAAAATATTAATTCTCAAGGTACCATATAGTTTATAGCATCTGACCATATTATGTCCTTGTCTTTTACAATACGTGCAATTTTAATCTGTCATCCATTTATCAAAATTTCATGAAGTTTCCTATTCTATCAAAACAGAAATTTTCAACTAAGGCCTAGTGGAAATAAAGGAAGCTACTTAATCGAAAAAAATAAGATCTAGCCTACATTTTTTGTTATTTCTATTCTGAATTACAAGAAAATATGCTTGAGTAATTGAAGGTAATCATTGCACTATTTATACGAGTTCTGATTCAGACAATCTCACTAAAAATCATACCAAACGCTTTGCTTGCGCATATTTTAGATTGTGTGTTGATAGACGATATTTAAACGAGTTTCTATTCAGACAATCTTACTAAAAATAATGTCAAACGCTAATCTTGCTCGTATTTTAGATTGTGTCATACATCTACCATCATAGTCATACATGATGTCTAAACGAGTTCTGATTCAGATAATCTCACTAGAAATCATGTCAAGTGCTAATCTTGTTCATATTTTAGATTGTGTGTCGTACATTCACAATCATAAGTAAAAGCTTATTTCATAAGTCATTCGTCGTATGTGAATGCAACACGCTCTTATCTTTCTATTTGCTTGATGAATTAAGAAGTCATTATAGGACCATAACGTTTCACCTTATCGACGTTTAAACAAAGATGATACAATATACCGCATTGCTTGATCTTCTCAATAAATCTATTAGTCCTTTGCAAACAATATCTTTTACTTAGATTTGAACCATTTATGTAAGATTTAATAGCATATATTGATTTAATTTCGTTAGTTTTAAGTGTATGAACTCAAAAGGAGCAAAAGATAGAGAATACATCTATTCAAACATGTTTTAGGGGTATCTTTTAGCTTTTAGAAAGTGTTGAAAGTAGCTTTAGCTACTTTGAGATAGAATTTCTTTCCATATTAGGGGATTGCACCATAAATTTTGAGTATTCTTTCCTTTCCTCATTATTATAGAGATGTTCATCTTCTTGGTTTACATTATTTTTACCGTCACCGATGAGCATTTTACTAAATATATTTGTCTCATATTACTTGATCACGTACTAAATCTGGATTGAATTATTTATTTTTTTCATTTTAACCCTACAATTAATATGACCTTTGGAAGTTTAAACAAATTTTGAAGATCTAAGAATTTCTTTTTTTAAGAGGCAATTTAATATGAATAAAGGGCAAATAGTAAAATTGATCAATCTATTAATGATTCGTTAATCACCATATAAAATAGAAAATGTTTATCTAATATGGGACAAAGGGTGTATATTTTAAATATGGGTAGCTAAAGTTATAGTTGGAGGGTTATAGACTTTTATGGTGTTAATATTATTAGGTATTTGATTATCTTGCTAATTTGTGTTTGCATTTTGATAATCTACTTGTTTGCATGCTTTATTGTTAACTTTAGTGATTGTGGACACTAGATTAAGTCATCTAGTATCTAGTTTCTCACTTGGGAATGTGAAAATTGGATTGAGTAATTAAAAAATAGCATGAATTAGATTAACTAATTAAGGAATTAATTAGGCTTGATTAATAAAATCAAATTAAGAAAAGGGAAATTATATTCTTACTTGGGTCATTAACAATTACTAGTTTTTAAAGCATTCTTTTAAGAACTAATTGATATATGCTCATTAGAATTGTAAACTTCTAATTCCTTAACTCAAATTAGGCAAGATGGGAAAATTCAATACCTAAACACATCACATGATCAAAGGTACAACCCTAGGTTTCCATTAATTGATAGCAACCCTTCATTTTAATCGTGTTCTTAGTGTTTGATAAATTGACATAGTTAGAAATTGCTTGTTAATACAAAACACAATATTTTCCATGTGAAGTTAGTCTTTGAGTAGAGTTTTGCACATCACTAACACTCACTCTCGTCCTATTCTTTGTAGGATTCGACTTCTGCTCCATTATTGAAATGTTATATTAGGTAACTATTTTATTGTTACATAAAAATTATCGTGGACGATATCACCTATATTTGAATTAAAATTGATATATTGATGCTAGTTCTTTCCTTCTAAAGCATTGTCTGTCTCGTTCAAAAGTTCTAATCCTTAACTTTTCGAGGAATCTTTAATTAATAATAATGAGTAATCTCAATAAATATTAGTCTTTGATTTCTTTCCAAAATGGATGATTACTCATAGAGAGTGTTTGAGTTTGTTTCGAGAATTCAATAGCATATTATTCTTCTCTTTGATTAACATGCATAAAGAGCGCACACACACACTCATACATAAGGATAATATCAGTTTGAAGAATATTGATTGTAGTTTAATTTTATGAACAATCTTTTAAGGGATTAGACTTTTTTTTCTTGTAATGCAAATAACAAAAGATATGATTTGTGATATGATCATTGTAACTTATCTCATTATAATATATTGAGTAGTGAGGACTAATGCAACATTATTTTATAATTCTCATATACATAATTTAATCATAGTGTTTTATTATGGTGTTGAATCCTATATTTTTATAAAATGAGTTCCAACTTTTTTGTTCAAAAATTTCTTTATTGATACTAAACTACTTGCTAAATCAAAATCTTGTTTCATAAAATTCTGTGTCAATTATACACCTTTTTTTTTACTTTATACCCAATATATTGTAATGTTCATGAGCTTTAGCCTATGTAAATAAAAATGGCAAATGAAATGTGATAGTTTATTTACTATCAATGTGAAAGGACATGATAAAAAATAATGAAATTTTGTTTTGCTCTATTGGATATATTATGTAGCAATGGACCGTGTTTTTGTTGGCTGAGTGACACTCTTTTCCTTTTGATTCACTTAGGACAATAACACTAGTAGACACAAGAAGGGAGTAAGAAAAACTTTTTATTCATAATGGAACAAAAGATATTAGTACTTTATTTTTTCTATATCGCTAGTGCAAACACAATAATTTCTGATCATGATGAGGAATCGATATGAATTTTGATGTCGATATGTCGATGATATTAAACAGTAGTATATTACTAAGAAGTTATTAGATTTATCATGAATTTGGTCAGAGTGGGATTGTTTGAATCCTATAAAAAAAAGAACTTTTTGTATGCCTCATGTTTAGGCATAATTTATACTAACCCAATCCACCCATTCTTTATTGCTGGCCTTATTTCTCTACTAGACCGGAGATTACTCGTGCGCGTACGGATTCAATACATATTAAGTATTACTGTCACAAATATTGGTAGCTAGTTATATATATACACACGTTACATTAGTCCTTGCATTGTGTATATGCATTTATATAATGCTATTTACATATTTGTACATAAACTAAATAGGTGGTGGTGTCAGTCATATTGTTGCAACGATGTAATTGACAAAATATATATAGTTGAGAAGAGGAGTGTTTTAAGTTATGAATGTAGAGTACTATAGCAAGAATAAAGTATGATATGTTATCACGTACCTTGTTAAAGCATCGGGTGTCATGCATATTCTTGTTCAACTTTGAAGAAAGTTGAGCACACTCGAGAATAATAATCACAACGACACAATCCAATTAGGTCATCTGAAAGTCATATACTTTAATAATAGATAGAGTGATCGATCTGCTTTCCACACCACACTTCTAATGACATAAAATGATATGTCAGTATCAATATGAAATTCCTTGTTCCAATCAAGAAATTGAAGGATTGAGGCTAGCGAAAAACACCAACTAGCATGCTTAAAGGTTTTAATTATGTTTCAATTTTAAATTATTAAACATTTATTCTACAATGATTTCCTTATAGGATTGAATGCTTCGAAAAGTTTTTTTTTATGTGTTTATAATATTTAGCACTCATCTCAAAAAGAATATTCTAAGCTTGCTCTCTTAACACGATATTAGAATGAAAGAGCTTTCATTCAACAATTATTGGAGATACATAACTTCTTAGACATTTCATGATTAACTTTGTATCTAAAGATGAGATCAATCCTGAGAGAGAAAAAAAAAGAGATTCACAACCTAAAAATATATGCAAGTACAAAATACCTATGCAAATGCGTCAACCTAATTACTTAACTAATTAACTAAAATCAAACACGCAACATGTGTAACCACATCTATTAAAATAAATACCATTTTGAATCTACGTCCACCAATTTGTACAACACTCAACTAAGTTGCTCCATTTTCAACATTATTACATTATGAATGTTTCATCGTTGTGCTTAATTTCGATTGTTATTTTACCAACAAGTTCGAACATAATATATATATATTTTTTTTAAACAATGCTTTTTTTAAAAATATATAAGTTCTAAACTATTTTTCCAAAAAAAAAAAAAAAAAAAAATTAGTACTATTTTGGCAACTTAATTAATGAGGTTTGGCATATAGAAGAACAAATCCTCTTTCTTCTTTCTGTCTGTCTGTCCTCCATTGTGTAGCCCCAATTTTCTGCAACTAGGGTTTCTGCTTCTCCTCAGCATTTCCATTTCTCTGCTTGCGATCTTCATCTCTGTGAAGATTTCACAACTGGGTCAGTCGAAATTCTTGAAAAGAACAAATAAAAAGCAAAAAAATTGAATCTTTTCTTGTTTCTTGATTCTTGATGGCAAAGACTAAACCAGGGAAAAAGGACCTTGATTCTTACTCTATCAAGGGTACCAACAAAGTCGTACGAGGTAATAAAACCCCCTCGATTTTATCTTTATGTTTTCTGATGCTTTGTTGTGTGTACGTTTGAGGCAAATGTTTCATCTTTTTTGTGCCCTAGAAGTTTCTGTTTTCGGGGTTTTCTAGAAAGTATCGCCTTTTCAAAGTATTAGTAGATTGCCCCCTTTGTTTAACTGTAAAAAGAGTTTAAGATGTTTAACAACTTATGTATCAGTTTGATAGATAAAAACATATAACATAAGAGTTAAACTTTGTACTGATCCCTTGTATTCGAACGATTCAAGGCAAGGATTCGAGTGCAGTTTAATGGCTCTCTAAGGAAATGAATAGTCCACAACAACAAAAACAACTCTTACCTCAATCCCAAGCTAGTAATCTATATGAATCCTCGTTAATCATGTTGCTCCATTTTATACCTATGGAAAAAAGGAAATGGAACACAAAGTGGAAAACTCATTTTATGGTGAGGGTATCTCTTTTTCATTGTATTTGTGGATTGACCCCTTTGTTCAAGTGGAAAAGGAGTTTAAGATGTTAACAAAGGATTAAACTTTGTAATGATCCCTTATATTTGAACAATTCAAGACAAGGATTATTACAGTGGTATTCAACTCAAGTGCAGTTTAATGGCTCTCTAAGGAAATGAGTTAGTTCACAACCACAAAAACAAATCCTCCTTGCTAATCATGTTGTTCCATTTTAGACCCATAGCAATAAGGAAATGAAACACAAAGTGGACAACTTGGAAACTGAACTAAATTGACATCGACATTGACATGGCAAATCACTCTGCAGTTGTAATGAACTCCAGCAGTGATTTGGATTTAAGCTTCAGCAGCAGCAGAAGAAGAAACCATTGGGAAGAGATTGATAGAGAAGGAGGAGGAAGTAGATAATGCGGAGAGATTCGAGAGAAACATAGAAGAGTGTAATAGTTTTCTTTCCTGATTGATACTTCACACCCCTACCTGATGTTCTTTATGTTTGTATTGTTAACAAAGGGATTAGCTAATCTAAGTCGTTGCTGATCACACGGCTCTTGACAGAACCATGTGCCCTCTTCATTAGATCATTAAAATTGAATAGATAAATGAATTTGAACTCTTAATTTTGCCATTTTTCATGGAAAAAAAAATTGAATTCTAAAAAAGTTGTGGAATTCTCTACAGAACAATTTATCAGTGTAAAGCATCTTGGAATGTCTCAAAATAGAAAGAATGTTGTATAAATTTGAATTTAGGAGTAACTTATGTAATGAATTCCTGTATAGTTGATTCTATTTTGTCTTCATAACTTATTCAATTTTGCTTTTAGTTTGCTCTATTTCCCTGGCAATATTGTGGACATATGGTTGTCTTGACAAAACATTAAAATTTCTGTTATTGCTCCTTTCTCAGTTGGTGATTGTGTATTGATGAGACCATCCGATTCGGATAAGCCCCCATATGTGGCAAAAGTAGATAGAATTGAGGCAGACCATCGCAACAATGTGAAGGTCCGAGTTCAGTGGTACTACCGCCCCGAGGAGTCAGTTGGTGGACGCAGACAGTTCCATGGGGCAAAAGAGCTGTTCTTGTCTGATCACTATGATTTTCAGAGTGCACACACAATTGAAGGGAAGTGCATAGTGCACTCCTTCAAGAACTACACAAAGCTAGAGAATGTGGGCCCTGAGGATTACTTTTGTAGGTTCGACTACAAAGCTGCCACAGGAGGGTTCACTCCTGACCGTGTTGCTGTGTGAGCTCTTCATAGCTCCACTGTGAAATTTGATAATTTATTTTCTTGGTGTAACATTAAGAGTTTCGCCTGTAGTATTCGCTAACATGCTGAATGATTTGATTTTGAAGGTATTGCAAGTGTGAAATGCCCTATAACCCGGACGATCTCATGGTACAATGTGAAGGGTGTAAAGACTGGTATGCATGTTACTGAATACTTTCCTTTACATATTAGCATATCTCTATTCTTGTTTGCATGGAAACCAACAAGTAAGCTTGCATTTTGTGCTCGAAAATTTAGGTTAAAAAGTAAATTGAGAGAAGGATGTGTATAGAAGTTTTTCTAACTTCATATAATAAACAGTAGCAAAGACAGTTAAATGGCCACATGACCAACATCCAAGGACACAAAACATGAAAATGCAGCGAAGAGATTGCCATATCCCCCTTCCTCTTTTTGTTATCTCCAGATGCACAATTGTCATTTCTGAGATATGTTTTTGGAGTTATCACATCATTGTTGTCCACTATCCACATTATGTTGCTCTAACAGCTAGCGAAGATCTGCTCTGCATCTATGTTTTCAGCCTATTTTTTTTATGTATTTAAATTGTGTTGCACAAATAAAGAAACTATTGTTGTAAATTTGCTAAATTCTTCAAATTCCTGCCTGAAGTTCTAATAAATACTCTGACAAGAACTGGAACCTCTTTATGGGTTGAATTTGAAGGCAAGATACTTCTAGTTTTGTTTATACTGAGAGAATGGGTCTAATAGACGAATATATTGCCAATTGTCTGAGAATGATTGGTCTATCAGGTTGAACTGGATCTATAGATGACTAAGTTCCTTTAAGGGCATTCATGAGAGAGAAATGATGAATATGGTCAATCATCTGAGTGAGTTGGGTATGAGGTTGAATAACAAAATAGGAAAAAGTTTGAGACAAGAAAGGATAATCTAAATAAGCTTCTCAGAAAACAATTAATCTTGTTAAGTTGGGAAATATATACTCCCTCTATTGGCTTTTACTTGTCCACTATGACTAAAATACATATTGAAACTTTTACTTGTCACTTTTAGTATATCAAGAGAAAAATACTCTTCCATGTTTTACCTTCTACATTGATTACTTTTTCCCAAAATCAGTTTTCAAGACCTAAGATTAAACATCAATTAATATGGGTATTGTGGTAAAATACTCATGTTAGTCATAGTTTCTTAAGGGGTCTGCAAAGTCCAATCTGGACAAGTAAAAGTGAACGAAGGGAATAATTAAAAAGGATGTGTAAATTTTCCATATTTGGCTGAGCTCATAGGAACTTAAGAGGGAAGAGAAGTCCACATTACTGTGGAGTGGAGGTGTGAAAATTCTTTCGGCTGTAATTGCCTCTACTTGTGTTGAGTGGAATTCTTGTTGTGTTGTTCAACATCATGGATATGAGGGAGGCCTGAGTTGGTCATTAAGCTCTATTAAACTTAATCTAATTGTCTGTGTTATGTTTGTTAGGTAACTATATTTTTAAGAACTTCTTCAAAGGTATTCATTTTTGTAAGATGGTCTTATATTTTTTATGCAATTTTACTGCAGGTTCCATCCTATTTGTATGGGTATGACCATTGAAGAAGCAAAGAAATTAGACCCTTTCTTGTGTTCTGACTGTTCATCGGAAGATGATGCTAAACGACCTTTGAACTCTTTCCATGTTGAGCCAAAGGTAAGAATCTGTTGCATACACTTGATAGCCTGAGATGTTCCAGTATTACTGTTAGGCATTTTCTCTCAAGTCAACAAATCAGTTAATGTCCTTATTTATCAAAATCAGATTTAGCTAATGGCCTTTATCTGTTTGCGATAGAGATGTGATGGTAATAGTTGCTTTCTTATATTGTGTTCTTATATGTAGCTGGTTGTTAGGAGCTTTTATTTACGTCGAAAGAGAGTGATGGGCTCGGTAGGAAGTGGAGGATTGCATGTTTAGTCACATGATTTGTGATAGTATGTTAGTCTCCTTCACCCTAAAGGAAGGAGAAGGCTAGGACTGAGCAAAGGATCTGCTTAGGTGATGATACCTAATGTATGAGACTAATGATCGAAATCAATGACTAATGACCATCTTAGTTGATAATTAGTCATTGGATTGCTTGCATTTTGATAGTTTGTCTCGTTACCCTAGTTGAAAGGAATTCTGCAGTTTTATCATGTATGGATAAGAAGGAAAATGAATGTAAGGAATAAGGGTGTTCATGGTTTGGTTTGGTATAGTTTTTATCTAAACCAAAACCAAATCAACTATGTGGATTTACTTTAATGTATACCTAATAGTCAGTTATTTTTTGTTTTGGTTTTGCTGGTTTTTAGACTCTTTTTTTATACGAAATTTATTTTGTTCAATCTACCAGAGGGAAGGAACCAATTTCTTATATGCAGGTATATGTTTAACAAGAATCAAATAAATTGATTGACTTATTATCCCTTGGAAGATTTATATTGATAATTGATAAATTTCACTATGAGATAAACAATTATTCACTTTCATAAATCAAAAAACAACCTTACATCAATATATCTTATTGAACTTAGCTAACCTTAATGATTAAAACAACAAATAAATTGCTCCTAAATAACTTTAATAATGAAGAATACAAAACTTAAGCAAGTACCATGGATATGTTTATAAAACTTTTTGAGGCTAAAACTATACAAATTGTCTCTATAAAAAATAAATACTTGTGTGTATATATATAGAGTTGGCGTGGTTAAGCTTTTTTCTTAGATACCAAATGTTGTTTTTTCAAATTGAAAAACCAAACCAAGTCAAGAATATGTTGATATTTTATGTGTGTTTGATTTGATATTTTGTTTGGTTTAGTCTTTTGGTTTTCTCGAACACCCCTTTTGAAGAAGATGTTGGACGGAACGAATCAAACTAACATCTTCTCCCATGTTTGCTTTGGGAAGAAGTGTGTTCATAGACTTGGAAAAAGCAAATGATAAAGTGTCACAGAATTTTCTATGGAGATGTTTGGAGGCTAGAGTTGTCCATGTAACCTGCACTAGGTGTTTTAGGACATATATGATGGTGCTAAGACCCGAGTCAAAATCAGGGAAGGTGACAACTTGGAACATTTCCCAATTGTGATGGGGTTGCACATGGATGAAAGGAAGGAACAGAATGGGGCAGTGAAGTGAAGGCTCGTGAAGTAGACAACAAGCACAAACAAGAACTTCTCAGCTCCCTAACCTGTCTCTAGGGATCCACTCTAAGCTTGTTTTTATTTGTATTGGCAATGGACGTACTAACGCGACACATTCAAGGAGAAGTGTCATGGTGCATGTTATTTGCTGATGATATAGTCCTGATTGACGAGATGCTAGGTGGTGTTAACATGAGGCCACAAGTTTAGAGACAAATTCTGGAGTCAAAGGATTTCAAGTCGAAAAAGTTCGATGACGTGTCTTATGAAGCGGACGTGGATGTGAAGCTTGACACATCGATCATCCCTAAGAGAGAAAAATTCAAGTACTTGGGATCAGTAATCAAGGTAATAGGGAGATTGAGGAGGATGCTACTAATTGTGTTGAGGTGGGATGGATGAAGTGGAGCTTAGCATCGTGATAAGAATGTGCCACCTAAACTAGAAGTTAGTTCTACATAGTGGTGGTTAGACCAACTATGTTATATGGTGCAGAGTCTTGGCTAGTCAAGAACTCTCATGAACAGATGATGTGAGTGAAGAAGATGAGGATGCTTAGGTGGACGTGTGGGCATACCAAGACAGAAAAAGTTTGAAATGATAATATTAGGGACAAGGTTGAGTGGCTCTCGTGAAGATTAAGATGTAGGAAGTGAGGTTGAGATGGTTTGAGCATGTGAAGAGGAGAGGTGTAGTTGTCCTGGTTAAAAGGTGCGAGAGGTTGTCTGTAACGGGCGTGAGGAGGGATAGAGGAATAAGTATTGGGTGAGGTGATTAGGCAAAATATGACACGACTTGAGCTCACTAAGGACATGAAACCGAGGTTGATAATTAGGGTAGAAGGTTAGTAGGTAGTCGGGCTATTTCGTTTTCTTTCCTGGAGTATTAGTATTATTGTTATTGTTTTCCTTTTTTTGGATTTCTACCACTACTTGTTTCTTTTGTCTCAATATCTTCTGATCTTGTTGTTGGTTTTGCTTGTTGCTACTGCCTTTTTGTCCACTATTCGTTCAGTCAGGAGTTGAGGGTTTATTTGAAACAACCTCTCTATGACTCTACGTTCTCAAAGGTAGGAGTAAGGTTTGCGTACACTCCAACTTTCCCAGACACCTATGGGATTACAATGGTTTGCTGTTGATTCACCTCAAAGTTAAAATCTTTAACAAACATTAACAATACTTCCTCAGTCCCATTTAAGTATCGTAGTTTGACTTATCCAAACTACAAATTGGATAATAATGCATGAGATGAAGTATCGTTTTATGTAAACAAACGGTAAAATGAAGATAATAATAACTCTTTGATGAATCTGAACTTCAATAATAACACTGGATGTGTGTTGTCTTATTGTATAGTGTTGGAAGAAGTTTCTGTCTAGGGAAGTGGATGTATTTCAAAACAATCCAGGAAAATTGATTTGGGACAAGCAGTGTGTAATTGCTTAGTTAGAAGCAGCCCATGATAAGGTGCAGGTATCCCTATTTTTATGGTATCAAGTACCATTGGGTTTCTGTACCAGCGAATTTTTTGTGTACTTGTGCTAGAATCTTTAGTTATTGTGGTGTCATGTGTTACTTTTGATGTGACATTGAACATTTAATGAAAAATTAAGTCAAAAGGAGAGAGAGTTACTGGAAATGGCTGAGGTGTTGTGGGTAGTGGATGAATGGCTGTTGATGGGAAGAAAACAAAGGGGTTGAGTTGGGGAATTTTAGTTGTCATATGATAGACTGGCTCTGATTGAAACCTCTTCCCTGCCTATGGCAAGTGGATGTTGGATAACAGAAATTGATGGAAAATAAGAGGGTCATTGTTTGGTAGTTGGGTTTGTCATGCAGGTTGGCTGTTAGATTGGTTCAGTAATCTGGCTGAACGAAAACAAGTTGTCATATTTATTCAAATGTGTCTTATTTCTGACGTGCTGATGAGTATTCAGACTCGTAATAGGCATGTACATATTTCTGTGTGTTTTGAGGGAGAACTACTTGAAATATAGTCTTTTATGAATCTTAAAATCCAATTTGCCTGTCGCTTGTAAACATTTTAGCTAAGCCGTCTCTGATTCAATGACTAGGTGGAGTTGAAGCGCAGGAAGAGATAGCAACTTGACTCTTCGTGCAGTGGGAGGAGGTACACTTTTTCCTGCTTACTGTCCGAGACGACATATGGAATGGGATTCATGATGCAGAACTGCTTGTACAGCTGAAGTATGGAGTTACTAGCTTTATGGTTTCTGTAATGTCATTATGACTTTTCAGAGCAAGCTCATATTTCTAAAGCATCTTCAAACTCCTTTAGAATTTGTATGAACTAAATGAAACAAGGGCCATTGTAGACCTTTGTAGTATATTTGCCTTGTTAACTTATCAATCCAAGTGCCTTCAGGAAGGTAACCAAATGTTGAAAAGAAAGTTAAGAAACCAAGATGGTCTATCGATAGCGTGTTTGTCCAAACTTCTAAAATTTGCTTATTTTGAAATTGTGTTGTTTCAAAACAGTATTTTTGGTGAATTAGCTTATTTTGAAATTGTGTTGTTTCAAAAAAGTATTTGTGGTGAGAAGCCATCTGTGTTTGGTGAATAAATTTAAAAAGTACTTTGAGTTAGCAATTAGTGTTTGCCTAAACTATTTAAAAGTCTCTTAGTGTATTATTTTTTTCATGAAGTGCTTTTCAAAAACATACTTTTTGGAGAAATTACTTTTCTTAGCTATTGAAAAATATTTCTCATATACTCTAGAAGCATGTATATTCTTCCAAAAGCTTTTTTTAAACGAACACTTAGAAAAAGGCTATTAATTTTTTAAAAAAGTAAATAAACAGCCATTCTATAAAGGAGTTCAGTCTTGATTTCAACATGCATATTTATCAAAAATCAATAATTACAGAGGAAAGGAGAACATAAATCTTAGCCTCCATATCAATGTGAATATTGAAATTATGTAATATGATCCCTTTATACATTAAAAACTGACTTCTAAATCAGCTATACTATCATGTATAACATTTAGGAAGACTAGCCAGTGCAGAAGCCACCAAAAAGGCATGTTTGTCAATTTTCATTGTAGCCAAACATCTTCTTTTTAGTTCTGAATCTGAAATTGGAAATACCATTTTATTCTAACTTCATTGTAGATAGTATACTCTTTTGATTCCTCACCTATATTAGCCAATATATCAGCAGTTAGTCCAATTACCTTCCCTAAGAATGTGCTTGCAGTTGTAATTTCCTATCCAGAGAGCTTGCCAAATTTACTCAATATTAGTCAGCTTTTCAATCGTCCTGTATTGAAGTAGAAGAAAAAGGAAATTAGTGAAATGACATTTAATAGACATAGAAATAATATTATTCACTTGTTGGATAACTACATTTTTCTATTTTCAAATTTGATTGTGCATCTTGTTGGCAAATATTGAAGAATGAAATCATGAACTTCATTGTTGTCCTTGGCAATCCACCATCTCAATTCTCATTGCATTTTGCTTGAGGTGTTCATATTTCACTTTAATGTATGTCACAATTGTCCCCAAAGAAATTTCAAACTTGTCTAGCAATACTTCCACTATCTTCGCTTCATCAAAGTTATCTTCTTGTAGAAACTCGCTTCTTATTTTATTTGAGGTTCGTCCTGAGTACTAGCTAAGACTATAACTTACAAATTACATCTTCAGCCTATTTTTCTGTGAGTTTGACCTTAAGCATCTCTCTATGGTTTTCCTCACTTTTATTCGTATATGTTTTTATCGTATCGCTCATCTGAGCATGACGTTCCATATCCTCCACATAAATACTCCTATCAACATCACAGACAACAGAAGAATTACAGTAGGGCTTAGGAATGGGGAATAAGAATTACAACAACCATTTGATTTTTTTAACAAATGTACTAAGGCAGATTGAATTTTTAGAAGTCGTCATAAATTAAAACTTTGACAAATTTGACATGATAAAAACTATCATAAAATAGTTGAATTAGTATCATGATATTTATTTTCTTTATAATAATTAGTAAAATAATGCTACATAGGAAGAAAACATAATATGAGTAGAAAATAAATTACATGCCGAAATATAGAAGGTTACAAAATCATGTGAACTCTTGAAACATTGAAAATATAAATTAAAGA